AGTGAAGTATAATCGGTTCGATAACATTACCTTAGTGTGATCGATTCATTGCAACTAATTGGCCTATTGGCGGCTACCTGGCGAAAGGTTGAGCGCGTATGATCTCAGTATTCTTACCTTGCATCTTTTAAGCCATGTTATTAGCCTTACTAGGTTATCCTCCAATTTTTTTAAAGTCATATATATACATATATATGTATGTATATATATATATTTATATATTCTTTTGCGTTTATTTATGTGATTATAATAAAAATGTGAATAATAATTTAAAATTTAGCTAATTAGGTAAATGCTCGTTAGTTGCAATTTAGCACATTTTTTTCAATCCAATTAAGTGTCTGCCTTCTTTTTTTTTGGAAACGTTGAACCGCATGGCCTTTATTTATGATATTTCGTAAATGCAAATATAATTTTTTTCTGCTTTCTACTCAATTAATCTTCAAAATTGTTGTTGTTGCTGCTGCTGTTATTTTCTTTATATGACGAAATTGCAGCTGTTATTGAAATTTTTAAGCTCATAATAACAAGCGTTTTTCAACCTAATTCATCAAAAGGACACACAATCAAAGTGACAGTTTTGAAAATATCAACTAAATCGACATTTTTACTTCGTTTTAAAAATATTTTGCATTTCTTCGCTGGCATGGGTTAGCATATGAAAGAAGTGTCCACGAACGAAGACAAGACCATAAGACAACTTATGACAAGTTCTCTAAAATAAACCTTTTCATTGCTTTGGTGTCTGGTTAAAGAGCAAAGCATATCTTCTACTGTTTTTTATTGGGCCTTTTTTTTCCCCTCCTTTTTTATTGTTGTTGTTTTTGTTTTTCGTTTGAATAATATTTTATTTTATTCACTCACTTGCAAATGGTAGAAAATTGACATTTTTAAAGAAACGTCTGATGTCACTTAAGTAGAAAAGCAACCAGCAACAACAATAACAACAACCGGGGAAAAACGTCAAACGCACCATGAAATGTCTTTAACGTGAAATGAAGATTTTTTTCTCTTTTTTTTTTTTGTGTTTTGTTTTGTTTTGCTTTTGGTCGTAGCCTTTTTGCATATTTCTCTTCATCTTTTGGCTCAAAAAGCTAAAATGCAAATTATATTGTTAAGCCTTAGCATTCCAACATATCTTCACATATTCAACACGATCTCTGCTTGAGATTGCATAAATTTATTAAAAATAAAGGAAAAACGAAAAAGTTGAAGAAGACAAACGAACAAACGAACGGTGTTTTTCTTTTCTTTTTTTTTACCAATTTTTTTTTTTTTTTTGTATTCAATCTGAAATCAGAGCACAAACCAAATAGGAAGAGAAGAGAAAATGTTTTTATGATAAGTTTCTAGCAATGATTAGATCGCGATTTTATATTACTGTTAGGGAGTAATAAAGGAGAATAATAAAGGGATATGTAGATTGTATAGATATCCATATTATCTAACTGTATAGGATGGCGTCATTCTTAAATTAAAACATTTTTTACATTTTTCTTTGTTTTAAAAGATTATTGCTAAAAAAAAAATAAATAAATAAATGAAATGAAATGAAAAAAGGCGGGTATTTAAAATAAGTGCGACTTTAATTGTTAATCATATTTTCGGACAAAGATCGAGATGTGAATTACTTGTTCAAAGTCGAATAAACTGATTTTGTTACAATTAGGTCGAGTCTTAATTAACTTCCGCTTCCGATCGGTGCAATACGCAGACACAAAATAAGTAAAAGTTCAAATAATCTTTCGACAACACTTTTGGGTGATACCCGTTCTTTTAAACCGTTGCTTATCATCAGTAAAATGGAGTAAAAAGCAATGCCTGAACAACGCAATATTCCAAAGGCAACAGTAGGAAAAATACGCTGTGTACACGATCTAGTAAGCGATCGAGCAATTTGAAATCGGTTTGCCAAATTAAGTTCTATGGATACGACTTGAAACAATGAACCTGGCCTCCGGTGCCGGTTAAAGGATAACGAAATACAACGACCTTCACTCGTATGACAAAGACATGGTGATGAAGTCATCGTCTTCTAAATATTTCATATGCTATTGCCTTGAAATTATGTGGCGAAGCGTCAAGCTCTTAACAACAAAGCAGAAAAAATCCTTCTAAAATTTCTCCCATATTTTAACTGTATTTTGTTAGACATGGCTAATGCTTGATGTTGACTGTAGTATGGTATGGTTTAGAATCACATGATAATATATTTATAAAATTCAAAGAAAAATTCCATAGAACTAGTCTTGATAATCATAAGATCAATATGCAAAATATATTAAAGCATTACACTCAGTTAAGGCAAAACACCATCTTCTGCACCTTGCAAAGACTCCTTCCAGCGCTAAACCGAGCTTTAAATTACCTGACATTACTTTCGAATAATTTGCTCAATAAATGGCAGTATGTAGGAAGCTATCTTAAAAAAAAACTCCGATCCAGCAATCTTCTCTTATTTACATGAGAATATATCGAAAAATATCGGTTACCTTACTTTGAGGCTACGAAAAAGAAAAACCTTCAAAACCTCAAGGCGTTGTTACGCTGCAGCATACGCTGATTTTAGTTACAACATCTACCTCAACATGTTCCCTTGTTTTTTACCCATATACTTATGTATATTTCATTATTTTGCTAAAATATTCTTTTTGCAACGATTCATTTTACATACATTTAAAATTCATCGTTTTTATGAAAAACGAGCATTTCTAACATAATAATAAAAAATAATAATAAAAAATCTCTCAAGTTAACGTGGGTTTTATTTTTATTAGTTTTGTATGTGTACATGTATATGTTCGCCTTTCCCTCACTCACACTAAGCTACTAATTCACACCTATTCTCTCTGTTACATTAGCTTCCATTTTTGTTTTTTTCCATTACTATATGTGTGTGTTTGTGTTTTTATAGTAATTTGCATAAAATAATTTTCTCACTTTTGCTCGAAAATTTTTATTACAATGAAAACCGTTCATAAATCTCTACATACATACATACAAGCAAATATATGTATATACTTGCATATGTATATATATATATATATATGTATGTATGTACATAAATATAAAATTACTTGGGGTGCGAACAAGTGTTTGTAGAAAATAAAAACGAAACACAAAATTTTATAACTCATCCGCTCAGCGGCTTACTTACGTTCTTCAGACATGACTCAAATAATACGTAATAATGATGAAAGTAAAGCACAGCATGAATAATTGCAAATTAATGTAAATCTTTTATAATTTAATTTTCTAGCTTTTCATTGAAAACGAAAAGAAAAGAAGAAAAAACACGAATGACTTATTTTGCGTACCTCTTTTTTTATGAGAAAATCTTGTTAGGAGAAGTGTATAAAAAAAGCTAGCAAATCCTTGTCGAGCTCACCATTATTTGTGCAATTTTATGAGTCGCCAAATAAAACTAAACTAAGCGAATTTTATTCGAGATCATAACTCAGTGTAACACTACATAAAAAATATGCATATAATTCTTAATTGAATTGAGAAATGCAGATAGACGTAAGAGATAATAATTACTAATGCATGTAAGTAAGCTTCGAAAAGCCTTAAATGTTCATACTGACTGATTATATTGGTTAAAGAAACCTATCATGTGTGGCATCATCGGCCGAAAGATAAAGCCATAGTTGAAGCTCAGCATGATAGATGAATGATAGATAGTAAAAATGCTTCATTAACACTTGACATCCTAGAAATGAGCAGATGCCAAGCAAATGCTTGGGGTAGCTCGTAAAAATTCATATGTGTCACGATCTTAGCGAAGATATCTGCAAGGCGAACGCTAATGCATAAAATTACTGAATGGGGATTAGAGCACATGCCGTATGTATGCCGGAAGTAAAAGAGACGTAAAGACAAGCACACTCGACCTCAACTTTCTTGCAGCGGCAGAGAAGGGGGAAATAATAATAAAAACATATGAAATACATATGAAAGCATTTCAAGTCCGAAAATCTGCAGAATTTTCACTTCAGGCATTTTCCGATCGCTAACAATGTTTTAATTGCAACATATGCGGATGACATAAAAATTCTCATTTCATATTCTTCTTCATTTCCGCATCGAAATCTCTCTCTTCCAGTGCTCGCCTAAATGGTGAACTTTTAGAGCAGAACATGATGAAGTTTCTAGCACGAAAAAGTAAAACACCTAAATTTAAGATCCTAGCTCGGCTAACATATGTCACCTACATATTCACCTACATCACGTGAATCCATATAATGAAAAATGCAGTCAAAATTAAGTCATATTTTGGTCAAAGTCATAATATTAAGCGAATTAAAGAAATCGTATTAATTCTTACAAGAGAGCATTTACACACACACTTGCATTCAATGTGGCTTGAAGATAGTCCTGCAAGGGATAACTCACCTTGTCTAAGGGATGTATCTTTCCATCTTAGCGAGATTATGATTAACCGCATGACGTAAACAGAAACCAACAAAATGATTATAGAAATTAACAAAGTGGAATCCGCCTCAGTGGACGAAGGCGAGGAATCTCGACTAACAACTCAATGCTCGAGGGCTCGAATCTCAAATGCGGTAGAGTTTTTATTAAAAGCCTAAAGCCTTAGATGCTAGTCCCTTAAAAGTTTAGCCTTAGAATTTATTTCTCTGGCGAAATTACTTATAATTATAATAATGATAATAATAACAAAGTGGAAGGATTCAATTTAGTGTTTTATCTATATGGGGGATTTTTGGACTCTGGACATGCCAATGAAATTATGTTTTTCTGATAGCACTTAATGTCCTTCAATGTGTTTATTTCCATACGATTGTTTATAACATACTGCGTACATTGTAATTTTTTTTCATCATTACAACTAACATACGTCATAAAGTACGTAGTATCAATAAATTTTTTTTTTTTTTGTATTTTTCATAACATGACTCAATGGGATACCGCTTTTTATTTGTGTTTGTATTTTTGATTTTTGTTCAATTTCCATAATCATTTCTTTCGCCTTTCAGTGCCGCAAAAACGCGACCAGATGTGAAGATGGTCTGTCGTTCAGCAGAACCGAAATTATCGGAATACGAAGAGCAGACTAAATCCACGCCAATCCAGAATATGTCGGTATGTTACATGTCTTTTAATAATCTTTTAATTGTTATAATCACACCATTTATTCTTGAATATCGCATAATTGTAAAATATCGCTTAGCAAAGACCACCACCGAGAGACAAAAGATTGACTTGACGCTCTACGCTGATAAAAAATTTAATTTTCTACGAGTCCAAGCGCTCAATTCCATTTCAAAAGTTTGCTATATCGACATGGACTGTAATCGCTTAAGAACCCCATTTTCCAACAAAGTCGCCAAGCTTCTAAGTGTTGCTAAGAAAACGCTTAAATCCTTTTTGCCTATTTTGATCAGGGAATCTTACTAAAGTCATTTTCACAACAGAATACGAAATTTGTTATATCTATTCTGATTATTTACATATAATAGTACACATGCCCTACTACTTAGAAGATGCAAATTCTCTCAATTGAACGAGAGAGGGTTTTATTTTCGTTTTTGCCGGCAGCTGTATTTGAAATATTTTGTTTTAATCCTCTTTAAAGATCTTTGTGCTTCATATTTCATAATAAATATTTGCTTAGGTGTCGTCTCTAATATTAAAAATTGTTTTGAATGCAAGTATAGATATTCTTGATTTTATCTCAAATGTCAACATAACCGCCGACAAGATCGGCCATCATTAACTCAATCATTGAAACGATTCGGTTTCTTTTTAGTATGAGAGGATAAACAACACATTAAAAATTCAAATTATTTGTATTGTTTTAGAAACTTAAACACTTACAACAAATGCACACACACACACACATATATATATATATATATATATATATATATATAAGAAAATGTGCCGCTGAAGGTAATTAAGTATTTTTTTTACAAGATTTTTATTATTTTAAGGGATTTGTGTAGATTTTGTGTAAACATGGTTTCCCGTTTTATTTGTTAACCCTTTGATTTCGTCAGCGAAATATCTTCCTTTTGAAATAATTTCCGCTTTACAATATTCACCGGATATGTTGGCACTTTTTTACGTTAAGTTTTTTTTTTTTTTTTTTTTTTTCTTTTTTTTTTTTTTTTTTTTGATTACTTATTAAAATTCTTATAAAGTGTTAACAAAAGCGATTATAATTTTTATACCTACCTATACAGAAACCGTTGACACATCAATATTGCCATCAAGTTTCCCGGTGATATGAGAGAGAAAAGAACTAAATGTCTAATCATGGAAGGAGAGAAAATTTCCGTTGTCACGTGACACATGTCATGTAAAGCGTCGTTCATTCGATTTTTTTTTTTTTTGTTTTTTTTTTGCTTCGATGGGCTTTGGTTGCTTACTAACTAAACTATTGATCGCATTCATCAAGATAAACGTCATAGCGGTGATTGTTAGCGAGAGTCTTTCCATTTTTTTTATTTTTTTATTTTTTTTGCCTTTTAAACTGTAAAAGATTTGTTACCAAAACTTATTAGACAAGGAGAACAATAACGGTAGCAATCGGTGGTGTTTAACTTGTAACAGAAGCATTGATTTCGTAGCCTAATGTCAGTGTCAGTACGCGCGACAATCGTTCGCTTTGTTCATGTTAAGCTTCTTATAAAGTTAAGAAGGCCCATTAATTAAACACGCGTCGAGATCTAAGTTTACCGGTTGCAATTGCAACATCTCGGTTACTGTTACAAACAATGACATTTATTGTTCTTTTACTATTATTGCTTATTTATTTATTTATTTTTTTTTTTGCTTTTTGTTTCTTCGTTTTTTTAATCTCTCTAACGTTTTGATTGATCTATTGTTGACTTTTCTGATTTAATGCAATTCTAAGAAAAGTTTTAATTCTTGTTCAGTTAAACAAGCATAAGCGCACAGGTAAATGTGTACAAATAATCAATAGTGCAGCTCGCATACATTTATGCATACACGCACACAACACAAAACATACATATATTCGGCGGTATCTGCATACGTGTATTGTTACAATTTTGTATCATTTGCAAAAAGGCTCTCAAACAATGTTCATAACTGGTTTAATTTCTATCTTTAACGTTGCCATTAAATACCCTACAACATTAGTTTCGTCATAAGATACGAAGAGTTATACTTTAGACTCATCTGAAGGCTTACAATACACGAGAAGCCTCATAAGGCAGAAGGATCCTAAAAATAGATTCGTATGATCCAATTCTAGCTCAGTCTGTCCATATATATCAAATCGCTATTCAGGACTATTTTTTAACATAAAATAATAAAAAGTAAATTTTACCGCCATATAAAAGCTTACTTTTCCTCCAAATTCTTAAGCGGGGTGAGGTTGAAAAATAGATCCATACGATTGAAAATTAGCGCAAGTCACAATCCCGGAGTAGTTTTCATTAGAAATTCTAGAAATTTAGGCTTTAGGCCCACACAAGGCCTTAAGTTGATTTTTTGTAAGAATTTTTGTGTGAAAGGTTGTTCGGGAAGTTGTGTTCATCGACATGCCGAAACACTATTCTTCGTGGATTTTTGTCTAAAAAATATTACAAATAGCAAATTGTTTCCATATGATCAAGTTTTCAAAATCTGGAATTGCAAGTGGAGAAGTTAAATAAATAAGATTTTGTTCATATTAATATTTAATAGAGTTCGTCCTTGGATCACTTTGTCCTTGAAATCACTTATCAGCGTACCAAATTTGATCAGAACATCTTGATTTGTGTGTTAATCACACAAATCGTTTCAGAAAACGATTCTAAAACTGATTCGACATAAGAGGAATCAGTCTATGCTAAATTCCTCTGATTGTTACATACATCACTGTAAATTTAATACATCCGTTGTGAAGAGTAGAAACACAAACTCTTTCCCCTAACATAAATACACATATATATGCAAATATTTACACAAATAACTTTTCAAAATGTATCATCATTATTATCATTGTTACGTCGATATGCACATACATGCGCCGGTATTTGTATTCATATACGTAGTTACGCTTATATGCATGCATAAAATGTCAATGATTTTCCAATAATAACCAGCGGAAATATCGCATTTAGTTGGTGTTGTTAAAAAGTAGAAAACTTTTATAAACACACCATCGCCATCATTATAATCATTTGTTGTTGTTGTTGTTACCGTTTCTGTTGTTTACACCAACTATGTACATATTGTCAATAATTCGTTTACTATGCTATTTTCCGTTATATGTATGTTCGAAAGCATTCCTTTTTGCTCCTTATTTTAGAAAACAGTTCAACATACACCGTATCACTGAGATTTGCATTCAGAAATTGTAAAGTTTTCTTACCCATCACACGGGACATATATTAGATTTGTCAAATGCTTGCAACACATAAAATAATCCATCAGAGATCTTTTCCTTGGTAATCGTGTATGATTGAATAAATTTAACTATACTTGCCTGACTATCTTTACATATATATGCTACTCCGCCACTTTATTTGTACGTCTGCTCTCTTGTCCATCTGGTTGTCTTCTCCTCTGTCCTTCTCTTTGAGGATGTAATGGCAACAATGTGGCCCTACTGTGATTACGAAGAGAACTCAGCCGGAATTGTATATGCATTGCCTCTGTATGGGTCCTTACGGATCACTGATCCTTCCCATATTGTCCTCGCATCGCAGAATAGTATTAAAGATTCGATTTCATAGCGTAATGTCGTCCACAAAATTGAGACAACTCTCTGGAAACCGGTTTGCATAAAAAATATTCAAATAGAAGAGAAGAGAACGTACGTTAAATTGGCGGAAATAGATCGAGAAATTTTTAAACGCTGCGTTAAGAAAAAAATTATTTCTTTTCTTCCCAACTACAGTTCAACACATAAAATTAGATAGGTAGGCATGTGGACCTGATTGTTCTTCTGTCTTTTTATATTCTTTTGCGTTTGTTCACTTGTCCGTTTGAGTGGTTGCTTGCACATCTCTCTGCTCGTCTGTCTCGCTGTCTGCCTGGCATCTGCCCGTCAGTCCAACATTCTACCCTCCTTAACTCCGCCGTTCAGGTTCAAGGCTTCGTTTCTCGTTAGCTTATATTTGATAGCAAAATCAAAGTCCGCTTTGCAAGATGAAAGCTCCATCAGCAATTGGGTGCACGGGTCCGCTCGCATCTGCCGAAAAGTAGAGCTTACTTTACTCCCTACTTCGTCAAACTCCTAAATTTCTCAAGTTGTTTCTTGCTTCCTTTGAATGTTTTGAAGGCAAATACAAAATGAAGAAATATGCCATTGACAGATAACTAGGCGAGAGTAGGAGGAAGTAAATCTAACTATCTCGTACTTCAAAGAGATGATTTGCAATGAACAGAATGACTAGATCTCACATCCTCTATCTCACAGTCAATCATAGACACGACACGTATGTGTGCCAACGGAGCGTATTAAAATATTCGGTGTAAGCTAAAAATAAGTATTTTTTTTTTTTTTTTGTTTTTTCCTTTTTATTTTATTTGAACGCACTTGTTACAGTTACATGTTATTATTATTGTAACTTGTCACAGAGAATATCGATATTGTTATGACAACGTGCGGCTTATTGTTTCATATATTAAACAAATAAATAATTTGAATGTAAAAGGCAGGAATCGTTGCGCATCAAAATGGTATAACTACAATACTTGAAATATCTCAAAATATTTAATTTCGTTTAAAGTAAAATAAGTAAAATTTTTTTACTTATTTTTTTTTTTTTTAATTTTTTATTGTATCTGCTTTTAGTTTAATTACACGGTCTTTAGCAATAAAGCCTTGCCCTATTTTCTCTTATATTTTTTCCCCTTTGCGAAATTTTGACTGACAAGGTTAAGAAAAGTTTTGAGAAAGTTTTTCATAACATGATTTATTCAAATCATTTGTTATTGTAATTCTGCACACGACGTACATTTTCATTGAGAACAAATAGTTGAAGAAAGTTTCAACTATGATGTCACGTAAATGTCTATTGATCTTTTCTCTTTTTTCAAAAACATAATTGAATGATAGGAATAAAGATATTTGCAATAGTCTATGATTCGAAAAAATTTTGAGCCTTAATTA